TCTCTTTCTCTTTCTTTTTCTCTCCCTTTAACTCTCAAACACTCTCTTGAAACTTATTTTTTTCCTCATTTGTCATGTCTCCATGTCGTGTCTTTATCATGGCAGGGGTTACTTTAAAATGTATTAGGACAACCATTTTTGGCATGACCAAATCTGATGTCAGCCCAGCTTCCAAACTGATCCCAGCATCCTTATGCTGTGTCTCCACTGCATGGTACGTCTCAACTGGAACCACTCTTTTTTGTTTTTTCATTGGCAAAAGTCGTGGATTGTACCTGGTACCACGTATTTTTTGTATCACTTCAGTTGAGGTTCTGAACAAGCAGACTCAATACTAAAAGGTGACTGCTGATTGGTCAGAGAATCTTCACTAGAATCTTCACTTATGTGACACGGAGCAGCCAGAGTCGTCTCGACTAGGGCTGCACAATACGGTACGATTCACGATTAGAGGTTTTTTGTTTTTGTTTTTCATCACAAATGTAATTTGTGTGACATTTGTTGGGGTCTGTACCAAATAAACATGTTTTCTCAATTCTGAACAACAAGATTTGTATGCCAGGGCATCTCTTCAGAACTATGTAGTTTGTTATAATGCTGACACACATTTTACCTTTATGAAAAAAATTGCAGCTTCTGTGATTTGGATATTACACCTGGCCATATTGCGATTGTGATAATTTTCCAATTAATGGGGCCCTAGACTTGTTGTCTTCGCTCTGATGTAGAGTTAGCCAAACTTTTTCAACAGTCTGTAGTCTTGTTGCATTCAGCCTTTTCTGAAACAGAGTTTGTCTCCTGGAATCTACCAAGAATCAAGAACACCATCCCTCCGATATCCTCCATTGTTCCTATGTTTGTGTGTTTGTGTTGCGCTGAAAATGATGACACATCGCTATGATGATCAGCCAAGAATCCAGACTACAATAAGAGAGTATTATTCTGGTACCAAAAGTGAGTCGAGTTAATAGAGCCGAGCCGTATGCCATGCAGTGGAAACATGGTTGTAGTTAGCTAACACGGTGGGTTTGAAATTGGGCTGAACTCTGCACGTCCCCTGTCATTCTCAACAGTCATGCCACATGTCTCGGGGCCTCTGTGTCTCTCTCTCTCTCAGCTGTTGCTGCTAGTGCTTTGTTGCGCTACGTCCTCATGCCTGTGTGCTCGTCTATGATGTTGTCAGCGTTTCCCCGTCTGTGTCCAAGTCTCCATTCACACCTGCCCACCTGCATGCAAGAAATTTGTTGAGATGCGTTTAAGTGGGTGTGTGTTTATATGAGAATGCGTGTGTGTGAGTAATGACGAGAGACACAAAGAGGACTGATTTGGGTATACGTGTGTGTGTGTGAATGGATATGTTGTTGGGATCCTCAGTGCTACTCCTATGAGGCCGCATAATCTGCCAATCTATCAGTTGATTTGTCTAATACACAGTAGGCCAAAAGGATCGAGCACTGAAGTAGCCTGATATGGTTTACATGTCCAGGTCAGCAACTTGTGGCACCATAGGCTCTGTCCTGCTGTCCCGCCTCAGAGCACGACGACTCAGGACAACCCCTATGTACCTGCATGGCTGGAGGAAAGCACGCTGAAATAGAGCAGAAATGGAGTTTTGTGCAGCCTGGAATGTGCCATGTTCAGGGGTTTTTGGGTGGTGAGGATGGAAGACTGTTGCAAGTCGTACTGACCCTTCTATCCCCTTTTACAAAGCAAGTTACAGAAGCATGGAAGGCATGGCCGTTTGCCATCATCTCTTTTATTTAATTTATTTTTACTCTTTTTTTCTTATATACTATCTTATTCCTCTGTATGAGGGGTCGGCAATTACTGTAGTTTCAGCCCTGGGCTAGTTTTGCCTAAAGCTGTTCATTCACTAGCCCAAGTGCAGTGGAGGCAAGTGCCTGTGGTGTGTGTTTTTTTTTTATGCATCTGGAAACATAAGAGAATGATAACACTGGTTGGTGATTGATTTAAGGTGGGTAATCAAATGTGGATAATGAAAACAGGAGTATTAAAGAAGGAATGGCAAAATAAATATATGTTTTCCTAAATGTGGTTGGTAATACCAGGTGATTGTCGTAGTAAACAATATAATAAATAATGTAATTTGTGGTTAAAATAATAATGAATTAGGCATGTGTTTAAATTAAAGAGGCACCATGAGCTGTTCACATTAAAACTTGGTACAGAATAAGGGATGATTTAGATTATTTACCCTTTTTGCTTTTTGCCGACCCCTGCCCTATAAACTGTATACAGTGTCTACATTTTAGTGTAGCATGGTTGGGACATCATTACTAATGCAGGGGTGTATGATTTGGGATGGGGTGTGGGAGGATGGCGGGTGGGCTTTTATAAAGTTCAACTTTACTACCATTCACTACATTGCATACATACACACACACACACACACAGTGTCTCTTACCTCATAGCCCACAGAGCACCAACATGACAATCAAAGGAATCCACTGCATCTCTTCCTCTCTCTCCCTCTCTGCCTTTGGTGCTCTCCCTCTTTCTCTGTTAGACCATCAACGACAGCAGTCCCATGAAACGCTCGGCCTCGTCGCTGGGCCACAGCAGGTCCGGGCGTAGCCACAGAGACAAAGGAGGGGCAGACGACTACAACATGGAGTGTGTACCTGAGGAGGGGAGAACCAGACACACACACCGGCGAAAAGACCGGGGTCATCGGGTGTCGGAGAAGTCCCTCTGTCACTACACGGAGGCTGACACAGGTGGGAAAGACCACAGTGTAAAAGCTACAAAGCAGAAACACAGCCTCACCTTTAAAAAAAATATATTGTGTACTTATTTCATTTAAATGTGATGTCATATTGTTATCTAATCTAATGTCATAGCAACCTTTAATAACTAATAACTCCAACAAACTCCACTATTAGGCCTGGGCACAGACCTGAGCACCACCACCCAGTCAGGTGACCTCACGTCCAAAGACAAGGATCGCGACAGAGACCGCGGCCGGTCCAAAGACCGTAAGCACCACCACCATCATCACCACCACCATGGCTCGGTGGACAAGGAGCGCTATGTAGCAGAGCGAGGGGGCGAGTATGGACACAGGCACTCCCGCGACAGAGAGCATGACAGAGAGCATGACCGGGAGAGGGAGAGAGAAAGGGACCGGCGCTGGTCGCGATCGCCCAGCGAGGGTCGCGAGTGCTTGACACACAGACAGGTGGGCTTCTAGGTTCTTGTGTGCATGTGGTGTTTAGTTTTGGAGCTAGTACAAAATGCAGTGCCGTGAACACATTTTCAGTGTTATGATGCAAAATATAACCCATGGGCCTCTACTTTGATGGTGGTTAACTGGTGCAGTCGGCCAGTAATGCCATGGCAGCCTTTTCTTGTGATAACAAAATACTGTAGTTAAATACTGTGCTGACAAAGAAACATTATTATTTGATGCTGCCCTCAGATTAGAGGCAAACGATAGTATTGGGCCATTTATGTATGTTTATTTGTATATACATATATATATGTTTGACTACATGCACACAAACATACTCATTATGTGGCATTATGGGTATAATCATGCAAATATGATTACATGTTTGTTAAATGAAGTCACCGTTATCAAATCACTGTTCAAACAACCAAACAAATATGCATACAAATGTATATTTGAGTACTTGACTGCTGTCTGTAACTGCCTCGCCTAAATGTTTTTAGACTGCCAGTGTTCTCTAACGTTTCCCTCACTACCTTTCCTTTTACGGCATCCTTTTGCAAACACACAACCTACAACATTGTAATAAGATAAGACACAGAAAAAGTATCTCTGATCTACTTCTGCTGAAAACGCCTGTGATGCACACCATTCAGCCTTATTTATTTACACATGAAAGGTCTTGCTTACGTAACTGGGGAAGAATTGTTTATTCCCATTTGAATTTTTGTCTTGGTGTTATGAAAAATAACTTTTTAGAACATGTTGTGCACACATCGCACAGCTCACCCACGATAATTAAAAACACATTTAGTCACGATATTTACCCTGTACCACATCTGTTGTTCCGGAAATCAACCCTTTACCCTTCTTTTCTCCTGTCGTCTTTTGTTTTCTTTCCTCTGCGTGACATGTTGCTTCTCTATGTATGGTGCTGTTTGAAATCTCATCTTTTTTATCCACATCTTCTGCTCTGTTACTTTTTGATGCCTTTCATTTCTGCCTCTCTCTCCACTCCACGTGCATTATGACTGGTGCTTTTATTCTTATTGTTGCTGTGGTTCTTGTTCTTGTCTCTTCTTGCTTTTCTATCCGGACTCTTGCTTTCTTTCTGCCCCTCTTTCTTTCTCTCTGTTTGTTTTATACTCTATCTTTCCCATCCTCTACTTTATTCTACATGTTCTGTCGTTGAATTTGTGGTTCGTTCTTTTTATTTGCTTTATTTCACTTTTTGTGTAGGGCAGTAGTTCGGTCAGCGGAAGTCCTGTCCCCTCAACCTCGGGGACCAGTACGCCACGTCGAGGCCGCCGACAGTTGCCTCAGACCCCCGCGACACCCCGGCCCCATGTTACCTACTCCCCTGTAGTCCGTAAGGCCATGCCCACGCCACCTGGGGGGCAACAGGGCCGACCTCCAGCCCCAGCCCCCCGCCGCTTTTCTCCTGAGCCTCCCCAAGGCCAGGGCCCTCCTCCCGCTGGTCTCCCACTGGCCCACCATGGCACACCCCGCCAGGGTCATCATCCCCCGCCTCGCTGGGGAGACACAGGTGGAGGAGGTGGCTCCATGGAAGGGGATGGCTGCTTCTACAACCAGGAGTACCAGGACTATGAGCCCCACCATGAACCACCTGCCTATGAGCAGAGCCCCATGCAGGGCGGCAACCCCCACCCCCATGCACTGGCCAACCACCCACTGCC